ACAAAACTCAATTGAGATCTTGTTTCTAGCGCAAACGGTTGGGCAGTTATTAAATTTTGAATATTTTTATCGTAACGCTTAATTGTTTTGTTTTCGGTTAGATAATTTCAGGCATAAGCGAACTCAAAATCGTACATATTAATGTGCAACGAAATTTTGCAGGAATGTAGATTAGAAGGTGCGCAAATAATGACTAAAATTTCATTGTGTTTGAATGGTTGACTGTAGTGTTATGCGCGATCGACGAGAAATTTAAGGGGTGGTCGGAGACTTTTGAGTAGGCACTGTACCTTTTAACGATAGACATACTGCAAGCAATATGGCTGACGCCATTTTGCAAGTCTTGAACGATTTTGACTTAAAAACAATAACATTAGCAATCACCACTGATAATGCAGCGTCAATGGTCGCTTGCTGTGATCATCTAAAAATAAACCTCGATAATAGTTTCTCACATTACCGTTGTGTTGCACATATTATTAACATTGCGGCGCAACATGGTTTAAAACAAATGAATGAACCAATTACTAGAGTACGTGAATTAATGAAAAAGATTAAATATTCACCTACCTTGATAGCTCGACTTAAAGACTTTTGTGACATTAAAGGGATTAAATATCTCTCTCCAGTCTTAGATCTCCCCACCAGATGGAATTCTACGTGGGCCATGGTGGATGGGTTTGTGTACCTTCACAGTGCCCTGGTACTTTTTGGGACTGATAATCCAACCATTCAAGCACACCTACCAAGAATGGAAATGACAACTGAAATCAAGGTATTTTGATTGCTATTCTATCGCGTAGCCTGCTATTTTCTATTTTCAATATAATTAACATCTAATTATTTAGGACACCATTGAAGTCCTCTCCTGCCTACAAATGGCAACTCAGGTTGTATCAGGTGCCACATATCCAACAATTGGTCTCACACGTCTTGTTATAATTGGAATAATTGAACATCTTGAAGAATGTCTACAGCAACATACATTCTCGCAGCACGAATTATGTAGATGGATTAAAGAGAACTTGAACGATATTGGGAGATTGTTGATGCAACAACAACAATATCAACAGTCATGGATCCCTGATATAAATTCTCACTTTTTGAAAATCATCAGTTAACAGAAGTAAAACAAATAATCAGAGACCTCAGTGATACATACAATAACTACAACAACTCGACAAAAACACCCAATCAAGTAGCAGAGTTGGAACAAGCAGTAACTTCCAACAAACTCTCATTCTTCCACCAACTACGAAGAAGAAGATTCAATGAATCTGAACCAAATCCTGAGTTATCCACTTTAAGCCCAATTGATCAAGAATTAAATTGATATGAATTGGTGAATTGTGGTGATGATATAGACATACTTGAATGGTGGAAAACAAATCAAGTTGAATATCCGATGCTTTCTTGTATCGCTCATGACTATTTAGCAATACAAGCCACATCTACAGAATGTGAAAGATCTTTTTCTATGGCTGGTAATACTATTACTGATAAGAGAAATCAGCTTGATCCTGAGACAGTCTGAGCAAGCCTGTGTCTGAAAAGTTGGATTAGCGATGAATTTGACAATATCAAACTTCAATATGATAACTAGTATGAATATTAGCTTTTGTTTTTCATTCTCATGTCTAGTCAATATTAATAAGAAATAAAGTTTATATACCTAGCAAACATTTGACTTAAAAAGAAATACTAAAAGTTGATGATTATTATTATATGCATTTGGTGAGAGGAGCCGTTGTGAAGTGATGCATGCACAATAAAGAAAGCATCTGGGTTATATAAGAAGCTTGTGGTTGAACTCTTTCATCAATAAATAGTCAGTGTCGAGGTAATAGAAAAAGAGAGAAAAAGCAAGAAGCAGACACTTGAACTATTTACAATCGCTTCAATTTTAAATCATGAGACTAAGACTGGGGGTTGCCGATTCCCGAA